TCATGTCTCCCCTAGTCCTTCTTTTCAGTAAACTAGACATACCCAGTTCCTGCAACTGTTCTTCATGTTTTAGTCTCCAGTCCTCTAATCATCTTTGTTGCTCTTCTCTGCACTCTTTCTAGAGTCTTCATGGCGACCAAAACTGAATGCAGTATATGTCTATAAGAGACATAGAATGTATTTATGATATTTGTGTTATAGAGTATGCTTGTGTGTGTGTGTGTATACACAAACACATAAACAATGTATATGCCTATCAGAATGTCTATCTATCCAATAGATGGGTGTGTATATATGGAGTATGTTTGTGTGTACACACATTCTATACATGCAAATATATCTATATATGTCAATCAGAGATAGAAATAGATTATCTATGATAGACATGTATTTGTTTGTGTGTACACACACACGATTATCCTATCTCTCTCCATCCTATCCATTGATCCATTCTAAAAAGTCTCGCCTTGTTTAGCGTTTCTGAGCCTTAAGGGAATCTTCCCCTTCATTTCCAGCCAGCCCATAATGATGAACGTTCGCCTTCCTGTATCCGGAGGGCGCTAAATGTTGGGGAAAGTCGCCAGTCCGGTAAAGCCGGCCCTGCACTGCGTTGCGCCGTTTCTTGCTCCGGTCGAACAACGCTCCTTTCCCGCCCCACCGACTTTCGCCTGGCTCCCCCACTTGGCCCGTCTCCCCCCGGGACCCAGCGCCTTCCCCTCGGGCTCCCTTTTCGGTGGGGGGAGGAGCCCGAATTGGGCGGGGAGCGGCGCGCGGGTGGTCCAGCCTGTTCGGCTGGGCAGAGGCGGAGGGGGGCGTGGCCGAGGGAAACGCCCCCCTCGGAGGGCCAGGGCGTGGCCCGACGGACCCTGCCTATAAATACTCCTCCCGCGGCGCCGGGCTGAGGAGAGGCGTGCGGGGTCGCGTGGGTCCAGGTGGTTTGTTGGGCTTCGACAGCGTCCGTTGTTCCAGACCGTTTGCGAGAACGAGGCGCTGAGGGGGTCTCCGTGCTTCAAAGCAGCCTTTGCTCTCTCTCTCTTCCTTCCCAGCTCCGTGGGGTCCTCGACTTCGGGCAGCGTCTGAAAGGGCTTTTCTGTCCGCCCCGCCCCAGGTGAGAGCCGTCGCACTTTTTTACGCCCACTCCGTCGGTCTTTGAGCGAGCCGCTGCTCCCGTCGTCTGCGACCGGCTGGTGGGGAGAGGTGGGGAAAGCTCTGGGCTGGGGTGGGGGAAGGAAACGGGGGCGGTCGGACTGGCTGGGGAGGATGTGAAACGGTGTCGAGCGCTGGGTCCGGTGCGCGTTTTGTTGAGTCGACCTCNCTTCCGAGGTGGGTGAAATGAGGACCCGGATTGTTGTTGGGGGCAATATGCTGACTCTGTAAACCGCTTAGAGAGGGCTGAAAGCCCTATTAAGCAGTATATAAGTCTAACTGCTATTGCTATATAGCCACCCATCTTATACAAAATTCTAAGCGATATCCAATGAAGGATGGTCTTCCATGGTCACATGGCATAAAAAGCTTGGACGCTGAATAATGGGAGTTGGGACCTTAGAGGTCTTCTAGACCAACCTCCTGCCCAAGCAGGAGACTCTATCCCAGTGATGGCTAACCTTTTAGGCACAATGTGCCCAAACTGGAAGGCATGTGCACCAGAGCGCTGAAAACAAGATGACCAGCTGGGCCACGTTTTCATCATCATGGGCCTATTCCAGTGTTTCTCAACCTTAGCAACTTGAAGTCCGGACATCTTCATGTTGCCAAGGTTGAGAAACACTGCCCTATTCCATTCCAAACAAATGGCTATCCGATCTCTTCTTAAAAATTTCCAGCGATGGTGAACCGACAATCTTAGAGACTCTTTGGTGTTCTTCTACAATCTGGACCTCTGGAAATATTTCTGAAATCCCATTAATTTTGATTGCCGGATGAGAATTGATGGTTAACTCATCTGTAGGGGCCCAGCTACTGAGAATGCTGCTAACCAGCATTCTGATAACTTCTTGCAAGAACATTTTGTTTTCATGTAGATTTTGGTTTTGAGATTTTTTTTCCTCTCTCTCTCTTGACTTCAGTTTCAGTTTCTCTCTACTGTTATTGTTTTTAAGTTTAAAAACAGAAAGCAGTTGGTGTTTGTTGTGGTTCCTTGCAAGCCTGCCTGAACTTCTTGTAAGGAAAGTAACCAAGTAAAATTTGAATATCTCCTATTGTATCAACATTTTGAGCTTTTCTACCGTCCATAGCCAATACTGTGGTTTGTTTGCATAGCTTCAGCAAAAATCTGGGCCTCTGTAACTCCTAAGGATTATGAATCTACACCCAATTGTGGATTATGCAGAATCGCACACTAAACTCTGGCAAAAGTTTTGTGCATTTTCTTCCTCCCACTTAACGGCATTTGAAACTAGAGTTGCCAGCATTTAGTTGAGGATATTCAGGAACTTCACCCTAGCTTTTTTCACAAATGGTGCGTTCTGCTGAAAATCAGGTAAATACGATGGAGGTCTATCTCCTCTATTCTTGCCAAAGTTTAAACAGCAATTACAGGGTTTTAATGAGGGGTGTGGAGCATTAGAGTATCTCTTCTGTGTTTGCCAGTTGTGTTTTTAAAGTATTGTAGCAATATTTTGGCAACACAGATGACACCTCCCTGTAAAGAAAAGGGTGTTTGATCCTTGAAGGATGAGTTACTTGCTGAAATCCATGTATTTCAAAATGAGAAAATTTGGTTCTCAATTCTGACTTTGTCATTACCTTCTAGAATACCTTTTTTTTTTTACTTCTTGGACCAGCCTGCTGACCTGGGATCACCAGATGGCCTCCCATCCCAGGGAACACATATAATACACAGAGATTATCCATCCATCCATCCATCTGATAGACATGTGTGTATATATACAGTATGTGTGTATAGAACAATATGTGTATACAGGGTGTTCGTACATATAGAAACACAAACACACAAACATATCCATATCTACAAGAATACAATAGCAGAGTTGGAAGGGACCTTGGAAGTCTTCTAGTTCAACCCCCTGCCTAGGCAGG